AGATGGTTTTGAACCAGGGGAGACTCCTAGACCCCACTGGACAATGTTGTCACAATTGCACTTTTCAATTGAAAACAGACATCATCTTTAGAGACATTTGTCACCTTTAAAGACTTCTGCACGCCATTTTTCGAGCCGCTCTTTCATTTGAGCCAAAAAAAAACATTCATATCTTGTCTGATATCTCTGTTACAAACTCTGGTCATCAACTCTGGTTTTCAGTTGAAATTGGAATTGTTAATTTACACAATAATAGGATTGCATTGACGATTTTTTCTTAACTCGCAAAAATCTTCAAAACTACTTCAATGAGGAAAAAAATAAAAATTTGGAATATCTATACATGAGGGGCTAATTGATCGGATCTCTCTCATGGATTTACTGAATGAAAAATAAATTCCTGCATTCGTGCTTTCGATACCCCTCAACCCCCGATTTTTTTTTCAATTCCCATTCGCGTGTGTTGTGACGGGGAGGAAAACAATTCCGACAGGAAGTAGATTAAACTAATAATTGTGCATGGAGAGCTCACCGCCAAATCGTAAATTGTCAGTGTCATATGGGTTTTGTAGGCTGGTTTTTCCGCGACAGAGGTCATTTTGTATTTTTTACTCTCGTGTATCATTGGACCCCCTTCGCGTGTCCAGTAGTTCAGCGACGTTGGATGTGCCTCGGAGTAACATTCGAGGGTCACGGCAAAACCTAGGGGTGCACCCACTAGCTGGTGAGGGATCCACAACATCGGGGAAACTGAAACGGAAATAAGGAAATTTTTTTTTATTTTCATAAACTGACAGTTCTACTAAAATTTCAAGGAATTTCGACAGTTAACATTGACAATTGTAAAAGAAATCGATGAAAGCTGTAAATTTTAGTTCAATTACTTAATGAAAATTAGTAAAAATCGGGAAAATTCAAATAAATATATTCTTAAATATCCACGGAGTTTTTAATTCAGTGTAGTTCGGTATCAAATATTCATGTTTTGGCTTTCTGCTTCTTCAGTAATTTGACAGCTCATTAAATTTTCAATGAAATTTGAAATTTCATATTTTTCCCCCCAAGTCGGATTAATTCTCAATTTTTTATTCCCCACAAAATACTCATTTAAATTTTATGCCCCCGCTATATTCTTATTTTTTACACCCACCGACTCATAAAACTCTCTAATTCCAATATCAAACTAATCTCATTTCGATGGGCTATCTCATGAATTTCCAGCGACATTCGCTCCAGAGTGAGGCACTCCAATTTAACTTAAACCACGAGCAAGGATATTATATATCTGCTTCTTCGACTCCGGCGTAAAATTGAACGGTCCCAGGTCCCCTCGCATCGCCGGTGTATCACCTAACGAGAGGGAACGTCCTCCCTTCGTCCTTGGTGTGTCTGCGGCCAATCCGACAGGCACGTACATGTAAATTACTTCGGATAAAGCCTCGGGTGGCCCTTTTTTGCGGTTGCTCAGGATTTTTTGGGTGAATGGCTGTAAAACCAATTTCTTCCAATTCCAATGTACGAAAACGAATTTGCAAAGGTAAATCTCCAATTATGACAGACGAATCATGAATTGTCCTGATTTCTACTAATTACCAGCGCCATGGTTCTGGATTTTAGTACCGTAGTGCTGAAAACCGAAAAGTTTCTTTCTCTGTGAAGACTTTGATTGACGCGAAATGATGTGCTCGTGTACATCACCCTTTCAGCATGGAATTGTGCGAGAAGAGGCATTGGTGCGGCTGGGTACGAAGGGCTGGTACATGTCACGATGTTGAGTGTGAAATAGTACTCCCCGACACCTTCTTAAGATGCAAAACTTGTCGCCTGAGCGTGCTGTATACGATGAGGCGAAGAAGGATGTCACGACGAAAAACGAGAGACTGAGGGGAACCTACATCTAGGCTACACCAGCATCCGTTGGGAGACACAAGATTACCCCAATACTCGAGTCTGTGTGAACTGTGTTTCGTTGGGTTTAAGTCTCCAGAAAATTCAGGAAGATTCATCAATTCCCTCTGCCTCCATTGTTCTCAATTTTCTGTTATGTCGACGGTAATTTAAATGAACGAATTTCGTCGCCTCGCGGAGGGAAAAATGTGCCTAAAATTACCGCGATGTGGATGCTAAACGTGTCAATTACCTTTTCGGGCGGTTTCTAATCTGGGAATGACTTGAAAATAGAGGTGAACAAAAGGAGTTTTCTCTTTCATTCTGAAAAATCCAGCGCACTGTATGCAGTGGTAATTTTTATGACAGCGCCAGAAGAACAAATCTTACCAAAAACCCTGTCGGTGTGAGCAAAGTGAGCAACGGGCGACCCCGCTTTAGACGTTGTGTGCGCTAGTGAGCGTTTTTTTCAGAGGGTAAATTCAATTTTCGAGAAAAACACTATAACATGTCAAATTTCACTGAGTATTCAATGGAGTTTCATATTTTTGAGAAGCAGGAGGACAGAAAAATCTACAACTTCTTTGGATTGTCAACCAACACATTGATATTTGTTTGATCAAATTGTCGAATTTTAATGACGGAACTTTTTGAAAGTTTAGTGGAACCGTCACTTGATAAAAAATTTCCAAAAAATGTATCAGAAATTTCAAAGAAAAATTTCGTACAGTTTCTTGTTCAATTCTTCGAGTGTAATTTCTACTGAGATAGTCTTCTTCTTCTTCATCTTCTCGAAAACAGATAAATTCCGCGTTTTCATAAGTTAATTTTTGCCCCCATGTTCGAGGCAATGTGTATTGAAAATTTGTTTCGCATTGGTAAAAAAAATTGCGAGTGAACAATTCCATGAGTAAATTATAATAAAAAACCTAGGTGTTGTTTTCTCGGAGGACTTCCACGTCGTCGACGTTTTAAATATTTGCTTGAGGGAAAAAAAAATCGAGGATAAATTTTGAAAGAAAAGTGTGGAACTCTGCCTGCCGTCTATTTCAATTTTTTTCAGTTGTTTTTTCCTTCGGTGATAGAGGGAATAATTCATGTGGAAGTAACACGATTGTATCACCCAGAGCGTTGGATTTTTATTGTTGGCAGAGGACGAAAAACAGAGGGACTGGTACGTGGTGCTTGACGGATTGCTCACCTACGCTGCTGTACCACCCATTGCAACCGTGACTGTGTACAGACAGAGAATAGCAGGTGCCCCGAAAGGCTTGTCTGGTTCATTTTGCTGAGACTTTTCAGTTACGTTTTCTTCCAGGTGACTTTTTTCGTTTCGTTTGGGAATAGTTTTGATGGAATCTCAATTCAGCTATTGGAGATTCTTGATTTACATCATAAGAAATATTCTTCGTTGTCACAATATCACCGTAATTTACGAACACAAAACCACAATACGATACAATACGATACAACACGAATACTTCGATGAGTTCCGACCCGTTTTGTCAAAAAATTATCTACAAGCTGCCCCAGGACTATTTGAAAAAAAGTGTTCTTGCAAAACAAGAAATGAGGAGGAGAAATTTTATGCGATCATCATCGCCACTCGTCTGTAGTGAAAAAATTCGTGGTCTTTTTTCGGTATCACAGCAGAGCATCTTCAGTAAAATCGAAGAATATCGCCCTTCACTGCTCCACATGCTCCAGAGCACTCTAATTATTCACAGTCTGCAGAGAAGAGATTTCCCACCCCACTTGTATCAAAAATCCTCCTCGAGGCATGCACTCCACCTACAATCAGCAATATCATTCCGAATCCTCCAACGAGACTGGAGAATCCTCGTTGCATCAACTTCTACCTGCTCCCAATGCTTTGTGGCAACCCAAGCTCGTTGAGATGTCTCACTCAAGTAGACCTCCTCACCACAACGTAGGAGTCAAATTGAATGAAAGAGAACGAAATGATATTGAAAAGCCCATTCGCCTGGAAGTGTCTAATCAAACGAAAGCTCCGAAGCACGAGACTGCAATTAATTTCGAAAAAAAAATACTCTCCATCAGTATCAGCCCCGACGAAAGAGTTTCTCGGGTACTATTGCAATGGGAAAAAAAAGTTATCCACATCACGTAGTGGTTGGCTCGAGGGCGAAGAGACAGCAGGGCTGGTCTCAGCAGAAATCATTGGTTCTGACGACGTTACCCTTGGCGCATAATATCCAGTTTTCTGTCCGGCGGGGGCTCTCGATGCTGGACGTAATACTTCGTACAACTTGAAATCGAAGAAAAGTTTTACTCTGACAGCCGTGGGCGACCCCAAATACTCGGAAAATTCTTTGGTGATCGATGAGGCTGAATTGGAAACGCATTTCCCAACGAGATTCCATCAAACAGAAACTAGAACAAGAGTAGGAAGGAGGCGAAAAAAATATACAAAAAAATGCTGAACGAAATAAAAGTGATGCAGGCATTGATTGAGGGGTCTTCGCGGACTTACATTCTTGAATAGTAATTCATTATGAGTGAGCAAAATTATCTGGAAAGTATTGAGGAGTCTGAACGTTTTCACGATTTAATTAAGTAGATCGGACGCGCGTGCTGAGCTGTCACGCCCTTCACTTGTGAGAACCTTTCTTGTCTTCATTTAAGGAATTAACATTAAGGTATATCCGTAGAAAACACGTTTTTCTTAAGATTGTCCACGTGTTTGTCATCGATGGTTATAATGCGGGCTTCTGACACGCGAGGCATACTTCAAACTCTATTTTTCTATCTTATAAGAAAACAGCTCCATATGAATTTACTAGGTTTTTCTATTAAATTTTGTCGTGTCCAGAAATCAAAGACAAGTGTGGAGGAGGATTTTAACAACATAAATGGCTAAAGTTCTCGGATGTCCTTACCCACTTCCCAAATGATCCCTTCCACTCATCGTGAATTATTATTAATTAATTTCAGTTCCTTAGTAGCTTTCTTTATTTAAAAAAAAAACTGAGGAAATCCCTTAAAACTGAGACGTGTGAATGTCTGACGAAGTTGACGAAAAGGAATCGGATAGTGATTAAAAGGGATGGAGGATCTCGCGGGGATCTCCATGGCATTGTGTAATGCCCTGTGCATCACTTCCTATGTTGCATGAAACAGAGGAGGTAACTCACCAGAGGCATTGTCGCATTAACATTCCTTTCGTGTGAGCGGGGAACCCGGAGAGGTGACGATGGGATTTGATTATGGAAGGTTACCGGCGAGTGGGTTGTAACGCTAAAGGGGAAATTCTGTCACGAGACAGAGGGTGAAGGGGGTTGAAGGGTCGGGGCACTGGGAGAATATCCTTGAATCGGAAGGACGTTACTCGGTGCCATTATCACGGATTCTATCGTGTCGATTGTAATGTGCTGAAATGTCTACTGGGATTGGAAGCGGGAAGTGCTCCGGTAGTTTCGCAGGGCAGGTTTCGAGGGTTGATTGGGTGGGAGTAGTTTGAATCATCGGTACGATCTTATTGAAGTGACTAATATTCGGCAATTAAGTTGGTACCCGAGTCGAGGATTTGGTTCTGATTGGACGTACACAGGTCTTTTTTTTACCCGGGCCAAAGGGTCAGATCTTGGATTTTTGCCGGAAGAAAGTCGACTTTCGCCGAAATCGAATTTTTCCGCCAAGTGAGGGTTGATTCTGCATCTACTCGCGATTCTGATCCCAATGATACCCTTAGAGGTGGGGAAAAGGGCGAAATAATTTTTTTTTTTCACCCACGGCCAACGTGTCGGATCTTAGGTTTTTACCGGGGGAAAGTCGACTTTCGCCAAAATCGAATTTTTCCGCCAAGTGAGGGTTGATTCTGCATCTACTCGCGATTCTGATTC